AAAGTTTCATGAGTTTTCGGGAATGTTTAGCCCCCCAAAACGTGTTCAAATGTTAACAGAAAAGCTGATTTGCGCCACGTCGCCATGGCAACATGGTTCCACGCAAATTCGTAAGATTCATTAGATTCATAAGATGTCATCGTCCTAAGGACCTTCTGACAGAATTTCCGCTGGATCTGGTCAATCTGCTGAAAGGTATACATAAAAGTATAAAAATGACATTTCCTTTCACCACTAGGTGGCGCTCTCACTATTACTGAATATTATCTCATAGATGTGTTCAGGGCAGAATGGACAATGTACACATATCATCAACAATGTGTTTTGCATTTTATAAGTAAATTTCAGCTGGATCTGATCATCCTGCTAGGAGAAGAACATGAAAGTATAAAACGTGATACTTCATGTTGCCACTAGGTGGCACTAGAATATTACTGAATATTATCACATAGACATATTCAGGGCGGGACTCTTTTTAAACATGTGAAGTTTTATTGCAATCAGATCATGTACGCAGAAGTTATGACAAATCCCTCTTTCATGGCGAAGGTTCAAAATTGGATGCCACGAAACGCCACATGTACGCTGTTCGACGGAATGTCGTATATAGCACAACTTTTAATGGTGAATGTCTTTAGATGGCTGTCTCCAAATCTGAAGTCGATCCGATAAATTCCCAAGGAGGAGTTCGTTCAAATACAACGTGTGCAAATCGCAAGAAATGGCCGCTAAATCCAAAATGGCCGACTTCCTGTTGGGTTTGGGTCCAAGAGGCTTTTCTGCTTTTTTTATCACGATGAACATGCGTATCGATTTTCGTACATGTCGGCCTTACGTGTCTTGGGGGCTGATTGTGGGGGGTGGGGCTTAGCCATTTGGCGGCGCCCGTGCACGCGGACAGTTGCATACGTCGAGTTCTCGAACGATTGAATTTTGTGCAAATTTTCCTGACTTTTCGAGCATGCTGCGACCTCCAAATATGCAGTTGAAGGCGCAGACAATAATTATAATTTCTAGAGATACAACGATTTGTGCTCGGGCCTTAATTATTATATTATTGTAAATTCCTTTAAAATGTTGCATAAATAATGGTTTTGCCATGAGATATCACAGTGTTACAGAAACTATTTAGAGTTTACAGCCTTTTACTGTCATGATTTGACAGTTTTTCACCGTTATATCTTTAGACATTTTTTACAATGTGCATGTTCCTATGTAAGAGAGTCATTGCAGCCAAGAACTAACAACAATCTCAGGAGAATGTTTTACTCTAATGGTTGACCTCTGGCTCTGCCCATGGGCCGATTCCCCCTCCGCACCTTATCTCTGATCTAATTATTTCGATTTGCCATCCCGTAGATGGATGAAAGTTTGCCTCTATGCTGGCTATATCCCTTTGTTGCCTCCTTGCATCTGAGTGGCCTTATTTAGCATCCGCCTGTGTTCTACCGGATAAAAAGTGCATTACTCACTGTAAGATATAATCGTCTGCTACTCTATATAGATATTCCTTTTAGGGATCATTATATGTCCGCTACGAACATTCTGGAAGCATACATTTCCCCCCTAAATTGTCCAAGGAAGAAGTTGAAGCTGTGACCTTTTACAATGTCACATTATAAATTTGAATGATAATAATGACATTTAGCGCAAAGCCTCTGAAAATGACACCCCCCGTGAATCTTCTTGGCTATATTTTGATGTCTTTCTCCGAGCTCGGTGCGCGCCCGGCTCCTTGAGCAGTTCGACTGAGCGGCTGGTGGATTAGGCTAATTTAAAAATAAAGACATGCACAGTTAAAATGTCATTGAGGAAGCAAGACAGTGAAAACATGATAGCTAAATGTGGGTGATTAAGTCTTGATCCGTGGTTAATGAGCATATTGCCGCGACAACTCTCTGTTAAAGCCTCCCGTCAAAGACAGACTAAGCTCAATTGATCTGGTGTGACGTGATTCATTTGCTGCAGGGTGTCTCTTTCCCTCCGTCTCTGATCCATACCTCCACTTACCTCATGATCCGACAACTACCAGCTTCTATCTCTGTGCTCCAGCTTATGCACAGCTCAACATCAGGCTGATAAAACAAAACGGTTATCCCTCCAACCTCTATCGATTCGGTATTGTTACCCTCCTCGCTTGCCCTTCTTCCTTCACAAAAGGCTGAGTGGATGCTGTGAGGGAAATCTTAATCACCCCTCGCTAATGCTATCGGTCACTGTGGTTTTGGAAGTGAGTAATTATTGTTTGAGGGTGATTGTTTTAGCGGGCAAGGGAGAAATTGGCCGCGGATCCTATCCCCGCCTTTGTATTGGCTTCAAATTGGTTGTGGGGTTCTTTCTAATCGCAGAGGCGACAGACAGAAAACTGGCTTGTTACGATAATGTGTAAGGTCGGGAAATAATGTGGCTGTTTTCACACTTACATGGTGGTAAATGAGTAATGTGAATGTGACAATACTTTCTAGGCCCCGTTCCAAGTATTAAAAGAGCACATTGTGAGGCACCCTAAATCGAGGCTTGAGAAAAGATGAGCTAAAAGCACTGGAGTTGAAGGCTTTAGTTACATAGAGAGCATAGAGAGGGAACACATAACACTTATCATTCAGTAAAAGACTTGAATAGGGAGCAAGGGTAGATTGTAATATGAAATGTTCAGTATGTGCATAGACCTCTTCAAGGCATTTCTACCTTTCTATTTAACTGAAAGTCCTGACAGTTGATTCAAAATAAAGCGTGGCAAAATGTAATTTCCCATTCATAATAGACTCTGCGGCTTACTACAATATTATAGAATATGATTACTGCTTAAAAACTGTAAATTACATCTGACAAGCCCCAAAGACACTGGCAGATATCAGGAGGCCCTGCCATTACACAGTGACAGGTAATGAATGGCAAGGACGCCGAGCCCGGACCAATGAGAAATCCAGGTTGAGAATTTGCCGCCTGTTTATTGGTGCTTAATGAAAAACAATTTATCTAAATCACCACCAGGGAGGCTTCCTGGTTAAAGCTCTGGAAAGAGGGCTAGCCTTTCTGTCAGTGACAAATGTGCTGCTGTTTTTCCAATTCAAATTGAATTGACGAGAGAGAACACAGCCATTCAGGCCACGAGCGCAGCTACTACCCACAATTCCACCACATAAAAGAGGCATGGGTGTTGTAGTTTAGGTTCGATAAAAGATTCAAGATAAGGAGATACACATTTAAAGCTGCTCCAGTCCATATTTTCATATTAATAATGGAACAAATGACTAAGTATTATGTGAAGGGGTCCATGTCTAGTGACAAACCCACTGACAATTATCACCTGAATCTGCAGTTCCCCTCAGCTCTACAGAGCTTCCCACCCCTTTTTGCTCTGTGCTCCAATAACAGTTGACCAAGCCTTGTTAAAACTTCTTAAACTTTCTCCTTTGCTGTACTTCTGTGCTATCTGCTTATGTAATATAACATCTTAAGTTAGCTAACATTAGCAAAGTGTCAGCCAAAAAGCTTTCACTTCCTGCCTACCACCAAACAGGATAAAGGTAGCCACTAGTTCAAGTTAAGATAGTTGAACAGTTTGCTCAACAGTTGGTAGAGGCCCAAATAGTTAAAGTGAATATTGTGTGTGTATGTAAAGTAAAAAGGTCAGTTGTTTTCTAACATATTCACTATGTTAACTTTTAATATCAGTGCTCCAGATTGTTCCTCCGCAGCCAAGTAGCAAACTGCTTTAGTATTACAAAAAGACACTGAAGGATTTTGCACTTTGCTATCTCTTGTGCAGCCATATTTACCATGTGCAGCTTTTTTCAGTTTTTATCATTATTTTACAGAGTTACATCAAACACATTTTACTTGTGATTGACAATAAAGGTTTTCTAATTTTGATTATGATCTGGAAAGGATAAGGAATATATGGTCTTGTATATCATATAGCGACATATACAGTTAGAATAAACACCCCTTTTCTTTATTTCTGTGCAATAATGCACATCCCTATTCTAACAATTTAGCTTACAAAATTGCAGAATATCCAGTTAAATGCAATAACACTGGATTGTTTTTTCCAGCATTAGAAATGTTTAACCTTTTATCGTGAATACATGTATTCAGTAGCATAATCTGATTCAAAAGAATACAATATATTACACACCTATTCAAACAGCTCTTCTTTTAGTCAAGGAGGAATTGCTATGACCATTTTATCTGCTTCCACAAAGACTCTAAATGTCATTAGTGGAAAGAAATATTCATTGTGGAATTCCTGTCCTTATTGAATTCTGTAATAACTGTGATAGCTCTGGCAGAAATATGCCAAGCATGAAATTAGGGCTTCTACCACTGTGGCACTGTTAAATTTGAAATTAGAATTTTATTGGAAGGAGGAATGCTGAGAATTTACATGCTAAAGGAATAGCTGATAAAGAAAATAACATACTGTATATGCAGATTCAAGCATGGCTGCTTAATCCCTTGTTTGTACGGCACTTAATTGTAACTACACTATAAGCTCCATAACATTTCTGTTCTATATTAGAACAAATCATTTCATGATTTCTCTCTGCCTGGACCTGGAGTTTATTGTGTACAAAGTGTTCTTTTAGGTCTGTTTTGCGTCACGCACTTTTTCACCCCTTGTGGCCGTGAACAACCTCAATCTTTTTTTGGGAAAAGATGATGAAATCCTCAATTCTCTATTCAGAGTCCACAGGAAGAGCCACAGAGCCATGGCAACAGAAGCGAGTCACACTCATGAAATGAAGTTGGAAATATAGAGGAGTTGTTTGCCAAGCAGAAGCCTGACGAGTGCCAAAAGCCAGGCCTTTTCTGCTGACACGGCTCCTGCCTCTAACATCCCTCTTCTGCCTTCTCTCATCTCCCTATCTTTCCACCTCTTTACTCAAACTCGCCTTTCAAATCCTTTCGTCTCCCGCCTTCAAAAATCTCATACCCACTCCCTCACATGTATGCACACCCTACTTCTCCTCCCTCTCTCTTCTCCCGGCTCTCAGATTATGGTGTTGACAGATCCCGAGTTCGAGAGCAGCGTGCTCATCAGCTCTGATGAGGGAGCCAGTTACCAGAAGTACCGCCTCACTTTCTACATCCTGAGCCTTTTATTCCACCCCACTGAAGAGGACTGGGCCTTAGCCTACAGTCACGACCAGAAGGTGAGATTAAGCTTGATGTCATATCTCTTTCTTGTCCTTGTGACAATTAGCTGGATGTGATTTACTTTGACTACCTACTACTTTTGTGTTACCCCCAGCACATATTCACTAAGTCCAGTATTTTTCAGCAGTTTACTAAATGATTTTGTGTCTTTTTTCACTTACTGAATATGAATATTGTTAATAACGTAAATTCTAAAATAATGGAGTGAGCCTGTATTCAGCTGAATCAGAGAAGCAGGCTTTTTTATGAATTATTTAGGTATATATTCACATATTATAGGCTTTCTGGTTTTATGATCTGCTCCCATTACCACTGTCAAAATGGTTTTGGTAATGTTTTCTGTCAGTAAAAAACTTTTTTTGTGTATTTATTGAGTTTATTTCAGTTCAAATCACTGACAAAAACACACCTTTTTAAAATTGCTTTTAATGTTTAGCTTAGTCTGATGTGTTTTTAATGTTTTACTATTTGATGTTGTTTTGCTGCTTTTATGTTTTTATGTAAAGTGTCTTTGAGTATTTAGAAAAGTGCTTATAAATAAAATGTATTATTATTATTATTATTATTATTATTATTATTATTGACTGAAGTTTTCAGGGACAGTGCATATTCATAAACACTGATGTAAATATGCCTTAATTAGGCAAAAGGCTATTTTTATTATAGGTAATCTCCTGGTATTTATTTTTACACAAACAAAACTAGCCACAACCACCTTTAGCCATGTAGCCATTACTTGTCACTGTAGGTTCAGAGAGGCATTTGATTGCAATGAATTAATTGGAAGTGTACCAATTGGACAGTGTTTCTATTTCACTCACTGACTTTAGTGCCTCATTATTACATGGTCCTTCAAAACTACCTTTCTAGAAAATTATTTGGAAATTTGTAGCAATTTACAACCTTGGTTCTGACATTGTGAAACATTTACAGGAAGTGTAAAGAGAGCTTAACACTGTAAATGAATGGTAAAGTAACCAATCAGAATGAGTTTCCAGTTTTTGTATTTATAGGTTCATTTTGAAGTATCACATTAGAAAAGGGTTGAAAAGTTTTTTGAATAAGTTCTGGTGTAGCAAACATTTAGCTCACATGGCTGATCAGCTGTTTCTGCTCCGACAGTCTCCTCATCGCTCCCATGGCTCGAGAATACATCCATGATTGCTCTATATGAATCTGATGGAACCTTCCTCAGATGAATACATGAAACAAACACAAATGTCATATTTCCATCCTGTATTCTGCTGTTTTTTTACTGCTTGAGGTTCGACTTGCGCTCTTTCAATTACGTCTTTTTGTTGCGCCCTCTTCTTCTTCTTCTTCAAATAATCAAATATCATTCTGCCAATTTACTCAAAATCCAGTTAAAATTTGAGATACACTTGGATGGAAACACAGATGAGTGTTTCTGTAAAGAGGAGCTCAGAGTGGGGAATGTAGCAACACTATGTTGTTGATGGACTGATGGAAATGCTGCATACACCATGCAAGCCATTACAGTAAAGGTACTAGTAATTTGTTTAAATGCCTCGGCTTCATTTTGGACCAGCCCTTTTTGGTCTGAACCGAGCCGAGACTGTCATTATGTGAGACCTGGCTGTTGCAGGGTTTGAGTTAAAGCTTTTATTTCAGAAGTAATGGTATAGACTACATTAGCCAAAAACAACATCAGTCCCTAAAAGTGATCCTCAGCCTCCCATTTTCCTTACCAGTCTTCATCATGGTGTCACCTTTACTGAGCTTTGTCACACAGTATGGAGCTCGGCACACCATACTCACACAGGGCTCTGAGATTGTACCCAGCAAAGGTCTGCCATTAAGGTAAATGACTCTGACCTGAGAGCCAAAGCCATCGCCCTGCAGGGGGGACATGGTGCAGCAGGGCGATGATTGGTGAACAGTGGTGGCTGTATTAAACCTGTCAACGGCAAAGCTTTGAAAAGGTCGTCACTGCACAAGCCAATGTCAGGCTTTTTCTTGGCAGAGTGGGCTTACAGGGATGTGCTCGACGGATGAACATAACACCGATTGTGTTCACCAGAATTGAAAGCCTACCCTTATTTTTTTGCATCTTTGTAATTACTTGCAGTATATTCCACAGAATTCTTTCCTCCTCTCTAGCCTCACATCTACCTCTAAATCTTATTTCCACACATTTGGTCACAGATAGCGAAAAAAAGAAAGTCTAAAGGATCAAACTTTGATGTGAGCACCAAAACTTTGCTCCAGCATTAAAACTTAGCATGAAAATCCTGCTGCTGCTATTTTCGACTGCAGGAGTAAATTAAGACGAACAAGGTAGCCAGGTTGAAGGAGTTCAAATCCTTGTGAAGTCTGGGTGGGAGTGCAGTTGAAAACGAGGTGCTGGCTGCCTTTAGCAAAGGTTCTGGGCAAAACATAAAATTATTCTGATGGATTTTAGGAAGTGAAAACCGCTCCCTGTCTTTGCTTTTACATCACTCCATGTTAATTAAAAACAGCCCTTAGCAGCTTGCATTATCTATAAAAATTACACCGTATACAAAATATGAGGTGTGCCTGGCTCGCCCATGAAATAGACTCTCTAGATCAATAAGCGTAACAGCTATTGATCTCACTGATTAAATACATCTCAGTCATGAAGGCAGGGTATACATCAAGCAGCAGAGTAGAAAGTTCAAGAAGGCAGAGGCGGCTGAGACTAGGGAACTCAACATTAACAAGGTATTTGGGGGTCAGCACTGGCGATGAAGAGTACAGGTTTTACGAGGAAATGACTAATGTGGCTAGAATTTGCATCATCGCTAGGACACCTAGGCACCTAAAGCAAGGCATGATTACATTTTCATTCCACTCACCGAATGTGTCATCCACAAACTGCAACTGCCTCCCCAGGGCTGTTGTTGCAGATAAAGAATATATTCTTCATCTAGTTAACGAGAGGAGGTTTACACAGATATTATTGGTTGCTTAATTCGACCTGATTTCCCCTCGCAGCCGTGACACTTCTTCTCGACTGTTGAGCCAGCAGCGAGAAGCTTTAATATGCTCATTTTCAGCTTGTAAACGGCTAATAGTTTTCAGACTGGGTCACTCTGAATTTAATCAGCTGTAAGTTGGTGCTTAGCCGTGGTTAAGTGCAGCCCTGAGGACTTAACTTTGAGGCAGGAGTGAAACTCTTTAGTGAGACATCAGAATCCATGTCAGGACAAATAGGCTGGAGTGAAGTATTTGTCGTAATTCTTAATTCTCTTTTATGACTCTTTTTTAAAAATTAACATTCAGGTCAGTCCCCTCCTTGAGTCAATGGAGTTATTTTTAGATTTAGGACTCTTATTGACCTTTCCAGGCTCTTATCTCCTGACTGCGAGGGGTTTGTGGAGACAATTACTCATTGATGTAGTCCCAAGTTGGCTTCTGAGAATAAGGCCAATGTTGCTGCTGCCAACTGAGTGAGTTATGTAAACAGGCTGACACAGAAGAACAGTAGAGGGAAGAAACTCCACACATAGAATAAATAGGAGTTGTCTTATTTTATTCTCTGAGAGCTGTCTGGTCCCAGTTGACTGGATGTTAGGGCATTTAGCCTAAAATCCTTATTTCCCCCCCTTTTTGACAAAAGAAGAACAGGCATTTTTCTAATTTCCTCACATATTCATGAGAGACTTTCTTGCCCTTTAGCTGACACGAAAACTGCAATATTCTTGATGATGTGTTGGCAGATATTTAGCAGCATTGGAGGCATTCTGCAGTGAAATTAATTTCTTCAGGAAGAAAGAAAAAATGTCCCTCAGCAGTGGGATTGTAGTTATGTGTAAACAATAGGTTTCTATCACAGCAGTGAACATTACCACAATACTGCTCACGCCTCAGTAAATTTGAGAGACAAGGCCGTGACTCTCTAATGGACTGTATAGTGATTAACTCATCCAATAATTGCATCAGAGGCAAGGGTACAGTGTTGTACACTGTAATCAAACGTTGTTTGCAATCAGCTATTTCCTTATGTGAATATCTGACCTATGACAGAATGGAATATTTTTCCAGCGACTATTTGTCGTTGCTCATTATTATCTTTATTACCGTCATTATGATCCCCACTGTTCCTTGGGCTGTTATTAAAGAGTGCTCCAGCGTTTTAGTGTTGCACTTCTCTTCTGAGAGACACATTAAAAGAAAAACTCAAAATTCTGTGCAGCAGTGTCTTGACTTATAGTCCCAAATAAGGGTCAAGCTCCAAAAAACACAATACACATAAACTTCCCATGATGCAACTTGATAGCATCTTATCAAACAGTTTTCAATTTCCAAACCTCCAGTCTCTTAGTTTAGTAGAGCTGGGGCTGATGGGAATTGTTATTAGTTTTGCAGGTTTTTGGTCATAAACTAGCTATTGGCGAGTAGCTATTGGACAACTTTACATTTTACCTGATGATGGTGGAAGTGTCAAGAGTTGTTACAATTCATCCTGAGGGGAAATGAAGAATGCCCCCTTTTACCCCAACTATTGGTTGGCAATCCATCCAATATACATTTCACATGAAATGACAAACGCCAACCTCATAGTGGCAGGAGGAAAATTGAGGGGATCACCCAAGTAATTGAGATACATAACCTTGGAACCATGAATTTTATGGAAATCCCTGTTATAGGTGTTGATGATGATGATATTTCACTGGATAAGTACAAACTTTGATCCACTGAAGGCTCTCGATCAGGGTTGTTGTTGTCATCTCATAGGAGGGCCAGGAAAGTAGAATAGTCAACAAATATTTCCATCATACTTACACACTATACATACATCATACTTAACAAAAAATGCAAACAGCAGTTTCAAAAAGTGAGGGGCTCACCAAAGTCCCAAATAAATTTTTGTTTGGACCATCAGACCAACCGACCATCTCTAAAGCCACGCTGCTAGTGTGCTTCAGAAACTCTCTTCAAGCCCAAGCAAAGATAATGACATCATCACGCTTATGTTTCTCAGATTTTCTCAGACATGTAAAACTGGTTGAAT